TCCCAGCAATCTTGATTCCAGCTTGTGATTCATCCAGCCCAGCATTTTGCATGATGTACTCTGCATATAAGTTAAATAAGAAGGGTGACAATACACAGCCTTGACATACTCCTTTCTCAATTTTGAACCAGTCCATTGTTCAATTATACTCATATATTTTTAATTAAAAAGTAAAATAAAGAAAAAATTGACAATGGGATACCACTATATATATTTGAATTTAAAGCACTGACACTTGTTAACACCAAGTTAGTAAGAATGTAAAACAACTAGAATTCTTATACATTACTGATGAGTATGTCAATTGGAAAATCCAGCCTGGAAAATTGTTTGGTAATATCTATTAAAGCTGAATGCTTACCTTATGACCCAGCAATTTCCTTCCTAGGTATAAAACCAACAGGATGTCTACATTCATGCACCATAAGTAATACACAGATATGTACATAAGAGGAATGTACATCAAAGCCAAAAACTGGAAACAACTCAAACATTCATCAACAATAGAGTGGATAAATAATTATGGACTGTTAGACAATGAAGGGGCTTCCCAGGTGGCACCAGTGGTAAAGAAACCACGTGCCAATGCAGGAGACACAGGAGACCTGGGTACAATCCCTGGGTCAGGAAGATTCCCCCAGAAGAGAGCATGGCAACCCCCTCAAGTATTGACACCTGGAGAATCTCATGAACAGAGGAGCCTGGCAGGCTACAGTCCACAGCATCACAGAGTCGGACACAACTGAAGTGACTTAGGATGCACACATTCAACAACAGAAACAAACGAACTACTATATGGCAAGGCCTCACAAAGATAACATTGAGCAAAGGGAGCCATACTCAGGAGGCTACATACTGTATGATCCTACTTATACAAAGTTCAAAAAGAGGGGGGAAAAAAACTACTCTATGTAATGAGCAAGATAATAGTAACCTGTGTGGTGAGAGTAGTAACTGACACAGGGTATGCTTCTAGGGTTCTAGTATTGTTCTATTTTTGATTGAATTATTCTATTATTGTTATTCTATTTATTCTATTGTTATTTATTTATTTCCATATATTTCTATTGTTATTTATTGTTATTCTGCATATTCTATATATTCTATTCTGTAATTCTATATATTCTATTGTTCTATTATTGTTCTATTATTGATCTAGGTGAAGGTTACATTCATATATTCACAATGAAAATATACTGAGTTGTTTGACAACATTTTTTTTTGTACATATGTCATTATTAATAAGCCACTAAAAATCCTTAAATATTATACAACCAATTGTATGACTTACAAACACTGTCTGTTGTAGAAGAGCAAAGGGTACACAGAAGGAGCAAACAGGCTACAGGCAAAAAAGGTAATCCAGACATTATAAATAATTCCTAGCTAACTCCTAGGTAACTGTTATGTGAACATTATAAAACTATTTAATACCAGATTTAATACTTTACCATTGTAAAAGATCTATTAGGTTATGAGTGACCATATATAATCAGTACATGGACCACAGTTTCTGGATCTTGACAGTGTCACCTTTCCTTTCACCATTCTCCCCCAATACTATCCATATACTATCTTCTACAAGCAGCTTCTTTAGGTAACCAAATGCCCATTTTATTTATCACTTCAACTGTCTAGCTAAAGCCACAGAAGGCAGTAAAACAGAATAAAAGAGACTCCTATAACAAGGCTATGTAAATTATACTATGTTTTTATTAGAAAAAAATTTTAAATGAGTGTCAGAATTCTTCTTGAAATATAGATAAAAATATCCTCCACTTACAATATTCTTCCCTCTTTCAAAAGCATTAAACTTATCATTTGCTCTTCAAAACTCCTTCACATTATGTCACTAGACAAAGCCCTCAAAAAAAAAAAAAGAACGAACGAAAGCAGGAAATTTTTAAAATATGTTTCTAGTATTATACAGAGTTACTTGGATCAGAACTCATTCTCCTGATACTTCAACTCCACCACTGAGCTAAAATTCCTTCCAAGTTTTAGAGAACAGTGCTCTCACTGTCACTATCTCTGCTATCCACAAGATAAGCATTGGCCATTCCCCAAATTCCAGAACCATTTGCCATTTCACTGCCTTCCTCCTACACACTAGTGGCAGTAATTCAGTTTGGCAGTTGGTCAAAAAGATTAGGAGTATAAAGCACTTGGTGATCTTTAACCAAATGTATTTGTTGTGTATATAGCATATGCCATGTATATGTATTTCACACATTATAACAGAACTCAGTGAGGGATACATTGCATAATTCTAGAATCCAAAGAGACTTCTCTTTGACAACTTTTCCTTAAAATAATTTACTTTTGTTGAGCTAAAAGTGTTGATTACTGTTTCTTTAAAAAGCAAATACCATTTCTTAACAATTATTACAATTATTATTCTCTTCTAAGAAAGACCAAAGTCTTACATATTTACTGCCAGGTGATTTATGGAAACTATGTTGGCAAATATATCACATTTTCTGAGAGAAAGAGTACCAAATAGGGTTCATATTCTTTCCAAACACTTAGCAAAGAAACCAAAACTATGAAAGAAATTTTTTCATAAAAACAGGCAAAAATAATTATAAATTTTTATAACATAAAATGATGCTTAGTAATAAAAATAAATGGGAAAAAATAAAATAAAATAGAAAAAAAATGATGCTTAGGTTCTTTTTTTATTTAACAAACATTTATCAGGTGTCTGTTATGTGTCAAATAAACGTGATGCTTGCCACCTTTAAGAAGTTGAGTCTAACTTTATCCAGAGAGATAATCCCTAATCCTTCAAAAGTTACTAAAAGGATTTTAAGCAGGGAAGTAAAATAAGTATATTTTCATTTTTTAATTTATTGTTCTTAATTGAAGGATAATTGCTTTACAATATTGTGTTGGTTTCTGCCATACATCAACATGAATCAGCTACAGGCATACATATGTCCTCTCCTTGAATCTCCCTCCCACCTCCCATACCATCCCACCATTCTAGGTAGTCACAAACCACCAGATTTGAGCACATGAAAAGATGCTCAACATCACTCATTATTAGAGAAATGCGAAACAAATCTACAATGAAGTATATTTTAATTTTTAAAAAACACATTTGGCTTTGGTATTGAGCAAAGCTAAGGCAGTAATCCAAAATTCAGAAGGCAACATTAACAATGGAGAAGAGAGAACAGATCTAAGAAACAAAAGAATTTGTTAAACTTGGAGACTAATTGGATGAGAGGGGTAGAATAAAAACAAAAAGTCTAACTGATTTGGTAACTAAGTGGATGACGACACCATGGCAGAGAAGACAGGAGAAAAAATGGGTTTGAGGTGGTAGGGAGCAAGGGGAATGATGAATTTATTTCAAATTATCTTAGGCATTATGTTTTTTATATATTTTCCAAAGAATCCCTTTAATATATAAATCATATATAATATATATGGGTTTCCCAGGTGGCACTAGAGGTAAAAAAAAAAAACCTGCATGCTAATGCAGGAGATATAAGAGATACAGGTTAGATCCCAGGGTAGGGAAGATCTCCTGGAGGAGGGCATGGCAACCCACTCCACTATTCTTGCCTGGAGAAACCCATGAACAGAGGAGCCTGGCAGGCTATGGTCCATAGATTTGTAAAGAGTTGAATACAATTAAAGCAACAGCATGCACACACGTAACATATATAACCAAAAAAATTGTATTTGACCTAAAGTTTATTGTGGTCAATTATTCATTTTAAGTATTTAATTAGTAAAAATTCCCTGATCTTCTTAAAATTATGTTTGGGATAGGGAGAGGGATATATATGAATACCCTCTGGTCTCTTTTAAGAAGCTGAACAGGAAAATTTGCTTCTTTGTGATCTCAAAATAGCTCCTATCAGCAAGTTGATATATAAAATCAATCCACTAACTAAAAGAGTATTGTTCAGTTCTTTATAAAATAGCCTGCTAATGATACATTCATTATAAAACTATTCAAGGAAATATATACACTACCATATGTAAAATAGATAGCCAGTGGGAATTTGCTATATGACTCAGGGAGCTCAAATCAGTGCTCTGTGACAACCTAGGGGGGTGGGATGGGGTGGGAGGTGGGAGGGAGTTCCAAGAGGGAGATGTATGTATACCTTTGGCTGATTCATGTTGATGTATGGCAGAAACTGCCAATATTGTAAAGCAATTATCCTTCAATTAAAAATAAATAAAAATGTTTAAAAAAAAAACTATTCAAAATATCAAAAGGTGAAATACATGTTTTTAGTAAGTAATTTTGTGTGTGTGGTTTTTAACTGGAGGATAGTTGATTTACAGTGTTGTGTTTATTTCAGGTATCCAGCAAGGTGATTCGGTTATACATATACATATATTCATTCTTTTCTAGATTCTTTCCTCATATAGGTTATCATAGAATATTGAGTAGAGCTCCCTGTGCTATGCAGCAGGTCCTTGTTGGTTATCTGTCTTATATATAGTAGTGTGCCTATGTTCATATCAAGCTCCTGATTTATCATTCCCACTACATTTCCCCTTATTGTGCACTAGTAACAGCAACAATGTGAGTTATACATAGTTTATGAAAAACAATTTTTTATGTTTAGGAAATATAAACCTCCAGAAACATGAAAAATATGCCTCTAAGGTGGCCAGGTCTGAAACTTCTATCTCCAATTGTTTACAAGGAAACTGACAATTTTTTTATGTATGGGAAAAGATGTCTTCAGCTTCATTAGTCATTTCTCATTTCATGACAAAAAGTGTACATTTCTCTGTTTATTATGGCTAAACTATGGTGTGAGGAGAACAAATAAAGGAAGAATCAGGAGTGGGGCTCTGAGCCTTGGAGCTGCCTAATGAGCCACTCTGTCTTCCACAGTTAGCTCCTCAGAGCTCACCAAAAGACTAATTAAACTCAAATCAACTAAAACACAACATTCAAATCTAATTCAGTACCTAATCCCATAAGGATATGCAGTTGCTTCCAACCAGGACTAGAGTATACTCACTTTCTTTGCGAACTTCCTCAAGTGCCCCAGTAAGTTCTTCCTTTAAAACTGTGGCTTCCTGAGCAATCTTCTCTCCCTTGTCTAATAAATTCCAAGTTGCTTCCTCCACAGAAGCTAAAAGGACTCTGGCTCTTTTTGAACGTCCTTTTTTCCTGTTAGAAGGATTCTGGGGACAATTTACAAGTGTAGTAACCTAAAATTGGAAAAACACAAGTCACTCATCAGACAAATTGCAAGAGGAACAGTCTCGGGATATCATAGACCAGAACAAAAAGAAGTATTTCATAATAACATGATTCATTCCCAATACTACTAGTACATTCCCAAAAGTCAAGTCAAGTCACCAATAGCAATATTATCAGCTACTACGGACTTCCCAACTAAAGGTAGGAAGAAAGAAAGGAAGGAAGGAATCTCATCAAGTCTTACTATTGGAACAATGTAAAATATACTATAAATAATATACACATATATATTATTTGATATATACATATATATATCAAATGATTATTTATATCACTTTGTAGCCAGCAATCTATATTAAGAAGGAGGAAAAATAATTACAGTTAAGTCAGTAGGTAGTAATCTATTTGGATTAAGAAGAGATTACTAATGTGTGTGGGGGTGCAGTGCAGAATCACTCTGAAACATGTAAAACAGTGGCTATCTAAGGAGGACAAAACCCAAGTTCTCACTATGACCTAGATTCTGGCCTTTTGTAAGCTCTTACCTCTCTCCTACACTATCCCCTAACTCAGTTGGCCTCCCCAACACTCAGATCCCCCTCAACGTGTCCTATCAAGAAGTCTTTCCTGACCACCCCAGTCCTCATCCGCTTCCACTCTGTTCCCTCACTACCCTTTATACTTTTTCATGACATTTCAGAGCCTGGTATTTTTTGTTCATATATGTTTATTGCACCCTTCCCACACAAAATGTAAACTCCATGAAAACAGGAAATGTGGTGTCTTTCTCCATCACTCAGAACAATGCACGAAGTTGTTGAGGTGGTGGTTGTTGTTCAGTCACCAAGTCATGTCAGACTCTTTGTGACCCCATGAACTACAGCACACCAGGCTTCCCTGTCCTTCACCATCTCCCAGAGCTTGCTCAAACTCACATCCATTGAGTCAGTGATGTCATCCAACCATCTCAATTTCTGTCATTCCCTTCTCCTCTTGCCCTCAATCTTTCCCAGCATCAAGGTCTTTTCCAATTAATCGGCTCTTCGCATTGGGTGGCCAAAGTATTGAAGCTTCGGTTTCAGCATCAGTCCTTCCAATGAATATTCAGGGTGTATTTCCTTTAGGAATGACTGGTTTGATCTCCTAGCTGTCCAAACGTCTCTCAGTGGTCTTCCCCAGCACCACAATTTGAAAACATCAATTCTTTGGTGCTCAGCCTTCTTTATGGTCCAACTCTCACATCTGTACATGACTCCTGGAAAAACCAAAGCTTTGACTATATGGACCTTTGTCAGCAAAGTGATGTCTCTGCTTTGTAATACACTCTCTAGGTTTGTCATAGCTTTTCTTCCAAGGAGCAAGCATCAATTTCAACATAAAATAGTTGTTCAATAAGTGTTTCTTATATAAATGGCTTAATGAATGGAGTAGTTGAACAGATGAACTTTTTTTGTTAATTAACTTATTTTTTAATTGAAGTATAATTGCTTTACAGAATTTTGCTGTTTTCTGTCAAACATCAACATGAATCAGCCATAGGTATACATGTGTCCCCTCCCTCTGAACCTCCCGCCCATCTCCCTCCCACCCCACCCCCCTAGGTTGATACAGAGCCCTGTTTGGGTTCCCCAGTCATAGAGAAAATTCCCACTGGCGATTTATTTTATATATGGTAATTTAGGTTTCCATGTTACTCTCTCCATACATTTCATCCTTTCCTCCCCTCTCCCTGATGTCCATAAGTCTGTTCTCTATGTCTGTTTTCCCATTGCTGCCCTGCAAATAAATTCATTAGTACCGTCTTTCCAGATTCCATATGTATGCATTAGTATATGATATTTATCTTTCTCTTTTGAACAGAGAAATTTTTAATGTCTATATTTTAAGTTGCCTGAATATGCTAATAATGAGCATTATTACTTTTGTAGATTTTCTAAAATAAGAATAAACTCAAACTTCCCAAGTGGTACAGTGGATAGAAATCTGCCTGCCAATGCAGGGGACACAGGTTTGATCCCTGGTCCAGGAAGATTCTACATGCTGCAGGGCAACTGAGCTCATACACCACTACTGAGCCTCCTCGGCACAACTACCAAAGCTTGCACATTCTAGGGCCCCATGAGCCACAACTGAGCCCACGTGCCTAGAGCCCATGCTCCACAACAAGAAAGCCACTGCAACAAGAAGCCTGCACACCACAACTAGAGAGTAGCCCCTACTCTTTGCAGCTAGCAAAAGCCCACATGCAGCAACAAAGACCCAGTGTAACCAAAATAAAAATAAGCAATTAATTTAAAAAGAGAAAAAGAATAAACTCATGATAAGAGCATTGTTTGGAGACAGAAATTAAGTATCTGTATTTGGAAACAAAACCTTATACAAGATTACATTGTGAAAAATACCCATTTCTTAATTAAACCTTGAATCCCAATAACTAAATATGGTTAACATTTTCATAAGCAAAACTTGATAATCCCCACTGTAGAGAAAAAAAGACACTTTTATCCAGTATTTTAAAAGACCTGAAACGCTTGTTGAAAGCTAGGCTCTTGCGTGTCATCAAGGAGCCAAGGCTTTCAACAATCATGTACCACATCTTTTTCAACAGACTATACATAATCTTTCCTGCTATGTAGCCCCTGCAAATTTTGCTTGTTTATTATTAATAGAGCATTAAATATTTGTTTATTTGACTAACTCGACCCAGTTCTTAGCCAAGAACTGAGAAGGGAGTTGGTGATGAACAGGGAAGCCAGGTGTGCTGCAGTCCATAGGGTCGCAAAGAGCTGGACATGACTGAGTGACTGAACTGAAGTGAACTGAGAAAGAACTCACAAGCTACGGGGGAAATATGTGGATGAAAATAATTTTCATCTGCCCTTTTATTCCCCCCTCTGTCCAACAAACCCTCTTCTTTATCCTAGTTTGCTTTATTCCCATGTTCACAACCCAGAGTGGATTTCCTTATAGCAAGCATTTATTTCCTTTCTTGGAAAATGATAATAATCATACTATCCTGTAAGATTATATGACGTTTAAATAACATAAAGTGTTTTTAAAGACATAAAACATGACACAAGTGTTGGATGGTATTTAACGTGTGTTTTCTAGTCCAGCCCCATGAGATCCTTGTCAAAGATGTTCTCTCGGGGTCTATCTATATCTTGCTCATAGGGTCCTCCAAGCTAAATGTGAAGGAGTCAATTAGCAAAGCACATTCTGTGTGCTATACAAGCAGTCAAATAGGGCCACGTGTCTTTATCATGCATTATGTAAAGATGATAATAAGTCTGGCTTATCACATGGGTTTTCACATATTCCAAAAGACAGGTATCTCGTTATTATCAGTGCAATTTATATATCAAGAGTTAAAAGATACTTGTCCAGATTAAGACAAATTACAGCACCTTGCTTAAAACCTTTGTTTAAAATGAACAATAAGTATCACTGTCTAAAATGTTCCTTCAGAATTTATTTTAAGTGCCACAGTTCATGACGCTTCCCACTGAACATTCCTCTATTATTGTTCAGATCCTCCAAGTGCCAAATGTTTTCCAAAGAATAGCCTGAGCTTTCAAATTAAAATGAGCATTCCAGAAATGCTTTGTTCCTTATAATAAATGCCAGAGACATAGGAAATGTGAAAAGAACATTATGCTTCTATCCAAAAAAAAAAAAAAAATTGCAATTGCACCTTGCAAGTTGTTCAAGTTTAACCTAAATCTTCTTTTTAAATACCCCAATATAGTTATTTAATATTGACTAAACTAAAGTCGTGATGCTTTCAATGATTCATTTTATTTCATAAAGTAAATATGATGTAGTAAGCCTTGGGAAAAAAAAGAAAAAATAGAAAGCTAAAACTTTTTTTTACCCCAAATCACCTATGGGGATCTAATCAACTATCATAGGTGACCGTGGGGCTTCTCTGGCAGCTCAGCTGGTAAAGAATCCACCTGCAATGCAGGAGACCTGGGTTCAATCCCTGGGTTGGGAAAATCCCCTGGAGAAGGGAAAGGCTACCCACTCCAGTATTCTGGCCTGGAGAATTCCATGGACTGTATAATCCATCGGGTCACAAGAGTTGGACACAACTGAGCAACTTTCACTTTCACATAGGTGACCATGACCCCTGAAAGTGGATGATTCTCACCAAGGGCTGGAGGGTGCATACGTTTTCTGAAAATATCTCCTGTCTCTTCTACCAGCAAACAGTAAAAATTAGCCAGAAGCTATTTTGTAAAATAATTCTTGTTTCTTCCCAGCACAAAATCAGGAACACAAAAACTTTATTGGAACTTATAGCAAAGATTATTCTAATGTAGGATCCAAGTTCAGATCTTGCTAATCTTTCTTTTCACCACTGTGCAAAACTGACCCCTTTCCTTCTTTATCAGACTTACATAGTCCTTCTCAAATGGAAAGTCTTTGACCTCAATGTGCAGCTCTTAAAGAACTTGGGTTTTATTCACTTTTCTTCAGTCTATAAATCTGTTCTAGGCTACAGACACACCTTCATCATAGCTACAGGATCAGCTCCCCACTGATGTGGTCCTAAATTAGAGATATCTAGTAATATAAAAAGAAGAAATTTCTTACTTTATGCATTCTGCTCATGCATAATTCCATAATACCAGGTGTATTTTAATGGTGTGTAACACTTATATATTAAAATTTAGAGTACAAAAAAATAAAAGGGTTTTTCTAATCTTTCCTAATTCATGTATGCTTTTCTAGGTGCCCCAAAGATACTGAAAATTAAATTGATATGCTAGGGAAGTACCCCTTCATGGAACGCAGCCTTGTGAAGGGGCTTGCATAACTCGGTGAAGCTATTAGCCATGTTGTGCAGGGCTACCCAAGATGGACAGGTCATAATGAAGAGTTCTGACAAAATGTGGTCAACTGGAGAGGGAAATGGCAAACCAGTCCAGTTACCCTTGCCACAGAACCCCATTAACACTATCAAAAGGTAAAAAATATATGACATCAGAAGATGAACCCCCTC